GACGACGGTGGAGTTCGGGAACCAGCTGGAGAGCAAGTGGACGGCGCTGGGCACCCTCATCCAGGAGTACGGGCAGCTGCAGAAGAGGCTGGAGAACATGGAGAACCTCCTCAAGAACAGGAACTTCTGGATCCTGCGGCTGCCCCCGGGGGCGAAGGGGGAGGTCCCCAAGGTAAGGGTCCTCTGCCCGGGATGCGGAACAGGGTTGTTCTGCACGCACTTGGCACTCGCAGCCCTGTTTCAGGGCAGCTGTGGGGCTGGTAGGACAAGGAGTAAGGGTTTGAAGCTGAAAGAGGGGAGATTGAGATGGGATATTGGGAAGAAATGTTTTCCTATGCGGGGGATGAGGCAGTGGCCCAGGTTGCCCAGAGAAGCTGTGGATGCCCCATCCCTGGAGGGGTTCAAGGCCAGGCTGGATGAGGCTTTGGGCAACCTGGGCTAGTGGGAGGGGGCCCTGCCCATGGCAGGGGGTGGGACTGGATGATCTCCCTCCCACCCCAAACCAGTCTGGGATTCTGTGAGCAGGATGCAGCTTCTCTCCTGCAGTGCCGTTCCTTGAGCGCTTGGCAGGAAATGTCAGCACCGGTCTCTGTGCTAATATGTGATCCTTGGCAAAACACATCAGTCACTCCGTGCGGGGTCATGGACTCCTCTGGAACCATTTTTGAGTTATGTGTGCCTGCCTGGGTTTGGTACCGTGTGCCTGGTTCCTCGTCAGAGGCACTTGCAGCAGAACCGCATCAAAGGTGGAGTGGGAAAAGAGCCTGTGTCAGGCGCGGTGCGTGAGACATCGCCCACAGCACGAGGAGGCTGAGCAGGGGCAAGGTGCAGACAGGTGACGAGGGAGAACCCCGGCGTGTCCCTTGGGGCAGGGTCAAGCTGCCTGAGCCTGGGGACCGAGCGAGGCGCGTGGGAAGGAGAGGGTGTTGCTGCGTGGAACCATCCTGCACTGGATGGAGGAGTTTGAATGAGAAAACATCCAAGTGAAACGCCTGAGCGTACGCTGCTTCTGATTGCAGGTCCCCATGGTGTTCAACGATGCTTCGTTTAACTTCTCTGAGGAGGAGTGGAAGAGCTTGAACGAGTGGCAGAAGGAGCTTTACCGGCATATCATGAAGGGCAACTACGAGGCCGTCATCTCGATGGGTAAAGACAAGCTGGGGTTTGCCCTGAGCTGTCCGATGCAGCAGGTTTTCCCAGGGCCTGGCGGATGGAAGCACCGCTGCCTGGCAGGATCGGGGAGGGTGGATGGTGTGCTGGTCTGGGAATGCGTTACACCGGCTTTTGCCACCAGCCCTGGCGATTAGTTCAGTCCCCACTGGGGACTTTAGCAGTGGCTGGACGTCACGAGTGTCGCTGCAGTGACCGCGTCTGCGGGCGGTAGGAGCCAAGCAAGCGCCGGGGTTGTGAGGAGGAGGAGGGGAAGCAAGAGGACCCTCAAGCCAAGTCCAGGTGGGGAAGAGGGAGTGTCCTTGTCAGGTAAAGCTCCGCAGATCCACTGCGCTGGGTGCGTCAGCCCGCTCGCCGCGCAGGGCAGCAGAGGGGTGCCCTGCCTCAGAGCTTCCTTCCAGCCCTTTCACTGGCTGATCAGCCCTCCAGCTGCAGAGCCTTTCGTCAGCTGGCTGCCTCGGGGCTCGCCCTGACCCCCCGCCTTGTCCTGGGGAACGTTTCTTGCACAAGCTGTTACAGTGGCTGCTCCTGTAGTGCCGGGGTAGAGCTGGGGAGCAGCAGGGGGCACAGGCAGGCTCTCTGCCTTCCGCTTTCCTCTCCGGTGGCTCAGGGCAGCGCATTCACAGCTAAACGAACGTGCTCTGCTCGCTCCTTCCAGTCCCGGCTGTGGGGATTCCCTCTGGGGGACGTGTGGCCTTCACGAGCACCTATGTGTGTTCTGAGCAACGACCTTGCCTTGGCTGAACGCCTGCGCGTGGTGGCGGGGAGCGCAGGTGCAGTCCCTGGTAAACTGTCGTCTCCTCTCTGTGCTGAGGCCGCTGGTGTGCCCGCTCCCCCGCCACCCTGCTGTACAACTCTGGGCCATCCAGCTCTTTTATCCCTTTTTCCCTTTCTTCCTTTTTTTTTATTTTTTTGTTTTTTTTTTTTTTGACCGTCTTCTGCAGTCCCTGTGTGCAAGGGAAAAAGGTGAAGGATAAATCCTGCCCCCCATTCTTCTCTTTAAAAACCAGTCCCGCATCCCAGTCTAGGTGTGCAGGAACGTAGCAGCCCCGCTGAAGGGGATCTGTGGGTCTGAGCCTGGAGCTTAGAAAAATGTATCTGTGCTTCATCTGAAGGTTTCTGGGGGTTTTTTGAGTAATGAGGCTTAGGGGTTTGGCCCTCGTATAAGGAGAACGGATCCACCAGCGCAGCAGTGGAAATTAATACCCAGAGATACACACACTTGTTTGGAAATGAAGTTTTCCGCTCTCCACCCTAGGAGAGATTGTGATTGTCCCCTTTCCCCCACCCAAATCCGCAAGCAGCCTGTGACTCGGACGAGTAGGACGGAGCGGTCCTGGCTGGAGGGAACTGCATGGGGAGGGCACTTCCCCTGCTGCCGCTGGCTGACAGCTCTGGTGCTGTCCCCGAGCTGAAGTCCCCATTGTAATGGATCCGCGGACCTTAGCAGAGAGGAGAAGAAAGGAAGCCTGGAGGTAAGCACAGATGCATTTTCTTATTCTCCTCCTCACGCTGCAGGCTGGGAGGTGCTCCTCACCTGAGCAGAGTGTGCTCCTGCAGTCCGCTCATGTTCCCAGGGCCCAGACAAGGTGAGCAGTGCAGGTGTGTGAGAGCCTCTTAAGCCTCTCTTTCCGTTCCGCGTCATCCCCAGCAGCGAAGGACGGTTGGTGGGCGAAGGTTGGAGAGTCTCCCTCCTGCCAGGGCAAAGGAAACGTTCTCATCCTTTTTTTTTACACGCAGATGCTGCCATTTCGAAGCCTGACCTCCTGTCACGGATCGAGCAAGGGGAGGATCCCAATGCGGAGGATCCAGATGACTCCGAGGGAGGAGAAACGCCAACAGACCCCAGCACCGGTGAGCCCCGGGGTTCCCAGGGCTCGGTGGGGAGGTGGAAAGCAGCCGCGTGGCTGTCACCGCCTGCCTGTGCTCTGCCGCTTGCCTCGCTGTTGAGTTTTGCCAGCGCTGTCCTTGGGTGGGGGGTGACTTTGCTTTCCTCGTCAGCTCTTACCCGCTGCGGCCATCTCTGCTGAAATCCTCCGGAAAGCAGCCGGGAGGTGTGAGCGTAAACTCCTGTCGCTCTTTCTCCTGTGTGCAGAGTTTTCCTTTCCTTGTCCTGACGACAGCTCGTGGGGTAAATACGAAGAGACCCTGGCTGAAAGCCACGAGGGCTCTGACGAAGAGGAGAGCATGGAGGTCCCCAGTGCATGTGAGTTAGAAGTGCAGAGCTTCGGCGAGCGCTGCACAGAGCGGGAGACAGAGGCAGGCTCGGGCTTTTGGTGCTCGCTGGGGATTGCCCGGGGTGAGATCCTGCCTTTGCCGCGGCCTATGCCAGGCTTGCCTCGAGGGTCAGCGCGGGAGCTGGACGGCAGCCGAGGCAGATGGATGGCACACGTGCAGGACAAGCTGCAGGACACGAGCAGCAGAAAGCACCTGGGGGCTGGCTTGGGGGGTGCAGGTCACCTGTACAGTGTCACATCGCTCGGCGAGGTAGCGTCTTGGGTCAGCCTTGAAGCGGAGACGAGCAGGAGAATGCGTAGCGCAGGCGAGCTTTGGTGGTGTTAGCAACGAAGTTCTTCCAAGTCTTTCCACGAATATGTAAAGCGATGTTCTCCACAGCTTTCAGCCAAGCGTGAGGCTTCTTGTGGCGCAGCAAAAGGCGTGTTCTTGTCACCGCCCCATCTCTGCAGGTCCCTGCTGTGAAGCACAGGGACATGTGAGCCGCCTGGGGAAGCATCCCTTGCCAGGATGTGCCTTTGGCTTCCTGGCCTCGTTCTCGGGAGCAGCTCAGCTGTTCTGGCTGATGCTCTTCCCGAATTTCAGCCTGACACAGACGCAGCAGCCTGTTTTCAAGCTGCAGGTTTAGGCGTCTGGCAAAGCGACAAGCAGATGAGGAGCCCTGTGGCAGGGAGTGCTGAGCACTGTTCTCTGGGCACGGAGATGCTCAGCGCGGCTTTACCGTCTCACGCTCTGCAGAACCCTGTGGTTTTTCAGCCCTTTTCTCCACATCCCCAGGTCCTCTGGGCTCCTTTCAGGGTCCTTGGTGATGGCTTTCAGGGACCGTTTATACCATGGGACATCCTCTGGCCCCGGGCACTGTACAAGCCCAGAAAGAAAAGAGATTTTATTCTTCTTCCCTAATTTTTTTTTTTTGCCTATATCCTAAACCACACATTCTCCAAAACCTGTTCTGCTTCACCCCCTGCTGAGGAACCCATTTTTCCCTTTGTGTAGTTGTATCTAGAGATCTCATTGTTGTGCTGCCTGAGCTTTCTCAGGAAGTCTTTAGCAGGGATCTGGGTGAGGGGATCAAGTGCACCCTCAGTAAGTTTGCAGACAACACCAAGCTGGGTGGGAGTGTTGGTCTGCTGGAGGGCAGGAGCTCTGTGGAGGGGTCTGGAGAGGCTGGAGCCATGGGCTGAGGTCACTGCATGAGGTTCAACAAATCGGTTGTGGGGTCCTGCACTTGGGTCACAACAACCCCGTGCAACGCTGCGGGCCTGGGGAAGAGTGGCTGGAAAGCTGCCCGGCAGAAAAGATCTGAGGGTGCTGGTCGACAGCCGGCTGAACAGGAGCTGGCATGTGCCCAGGTGGCCAAGGAGGCCAATGGCATCCTGGCTGGTATCAGCAATAGTGTGGCCAGCAGGACCAGGGCAGTGATAGTCCCCTGTACTCGGCACTGGTGAGGCCACACCTTGAATCCTGGGGTCAGTTTTGGGCCCCTCCCCACAAGAAGGACATTGAGGGGCTGGAGCAGGGCCAGAGAAGGGCAACGGAGCTGGGGAAGGGTCTGGAGCACAGGGCTGACGAGGAGCGGCTGCGGGAGGTGGGGGGGGTC